TTATGCCAAGAAAAAAAAAAGAAAGAAACCACAATTTTATACAAAAATAAAAAAAGGAACTCAAAAGTTTACAAAATGTAGAATATTCAAATACAAGAATCAATACGAATATGCCACCCTTTGAAGCACTCGTTCTTTAAGAATTCCATTGTAAAGTGCCACTCTATTTGCTGGCATTTCTCGAAGTTTCCCACTTGTGTTAGAACTTGAATCCAAATTAACTTTGGCACAATTATTACTATGTAATCTTCTGTATTCATCACTATTCCCAGTAGGGTCCACCACATCTTCTGCAAAATGAACCCTCTTCTTCTTTTTCTCCTTCTTCTTCTTCCCTTCTGCACATGCAAGGCATAACATGAATATATGCATGCATAAAACGACTATCAAGTCTTATCTAATACTGCGTAAATAAGAAAAAAGCGTGTGCATACCTGTCGAGAGGCAAGATCGAGGAGAATCCGAAATTGGGTCGATGGAAAACTCGGAATTCGAGGGAGATTTTTGGAGTCGAAGAGCGAGAAGAATGAAAGTACCAGAAACAGCCATGGCTGTAGCCAAGACCATGCCTTGAGAGTTCAAGATTGAAGACATATTTTCTTGATTACCAAATGATCAGAAAATGAGACAGACAGACAGAAAGAAAGAAAGAGGTTACTTTTTGATGAAATGAAAGGAGAACAAATGGTTAGTTTTATGCGTGGGTAGTTGAGTATAGGTAGGGACAAGATAAATAATATAATATATAATTGGTGTGGATGAAAATGAAATAAAGTATAATATATTGTGGTATCAAATGGGATTATTTAATTTTATGATTACTGAAATGGAAAGGAAATGGGAGACTATTGGTTGGGAGAATTAATGAATTAAAGAAATAGGGATTGGATCCTAACTTTTTCTCGTGTACCGCACGGCAATGTAGACTTCATGGGTGATGTCATTCGCATCTTCAAGAAGAGTAAACGGACGACGTTAATTAGACTAAGGCAATTAAGGTAGATGTCATGTCACGTCTTGCTTCAATGGGTCCATGACTAATATTTCATCCTCCATTTGATAAACTCATAAACATTATAAATGATTAATGGGCATTTTCAATCACATATTTTAATAATTTACTAATTCATCACTATTTTTTTATTTATAAATTAAATCGTTAAAATGGAGGCTTGAGGTAAATGGGAATTTTTATTTTTATTTATTTATTTATTTTTTTAAAGGTTTGAGTAAGTTTGACAATGTATTGAAATGAATAGAAGAGTCAAGTAGTGCCATTTCCCGACCAATTTTCGACATCGTTCGATGCCTTTGGCTTATCTATTTGGGATGAGAAGAGTCGCTCGCGAACTGCTTAGCTCCATAATTTTTTTTCTATCAAAAGTTGGATATTTTTGTTTTTGCGATTTGTAAAATTATAGACTATTAAATAAAAGTTAAATTTGAAAAATCAAATTATTCAATATATTTAAAAAAAAAATTATGAAACTCCTTTATTTTTGCATCATTCCAATTTGAAAATTAAGAAATTTTGAAAAGGTGAACTTGTAAATATCAGTTTTGTTAATGTTTTAATAGCACAAATTAAGGTTGTAAAAATCTCATCTTTTATTCAAATTTGGGACTGACTGATATGCATTTGGAATTAAAATTGTACATGATTTAATTATTTTATGTATGATTTTTCAAAACAAGTAAAATTTAATTGTAGAAATAAAAGAAATAAAATATTGTTACCTTACTACATTCGTTTTTTTTTTTTTTTTTAATGACAGGAGAACCCGTAGCCGCTACCCTTCGAGTGCGCACTGGTTAAACACTCAAACTGACGCAATAGCCTACAAATCACGTCAGTCAAGTAAACTGCACTAGGGAAGCCCGGAGCGACAGACTCGACTAAGAAAATGTTGGTAGGAGGAATCGAACTCGTGATCAAATGTCTTCACGCTCACCTACTCCACCAATCCGCCACCCCATGGGGGCTACCTTACTACATTCTTAATCTATAATTGCAATGTTTGAGAGTTATCGAAAGTTAACTACAAACTTCTGCAAATTACAAATTTGTAATAAAAATAGTTAAATAGACCAAAATATCTCATAATTATAATAACGGATCAAACCCTTTGTATTAGATTATAGAACACCCATTTTTAACAATTTTTTATTCTCCAAAAATTCATTTACTAATCTAAAAAATTATTATTTTTTCTTTCTCATTCATGTATCTCTCCATAAATTAACATTTAGTCTAGACCGCCTCTCACTACACCGTATTCATAAATTTTTCTATTTTCATAATTATTTACACAAAATTATATATTTTATTTGATTATATTTATAAATTCTCCTCCTTTACAAGGCTGCCTTGAGGAGAAGACATACTTCATTACCAAAAGATACAAATAAAATTACGCAGTCTTAACAATTTTTTAAGTTACGAAATAATCCCAACTTAAAATGTAAAAATTCCAGCAAATGACGTTTTTTATAATCATTATGCAAAAAAGTGTTCTAAAGGACGTGATGCATGGAGGTTAAGCTATGAGATAGACAAGCTTAAGCGGGCATAAACATAAAAAAACATAAAAAATATGTTTTCTTATTTTAATTTTTAATCAATCAAAAAATCGTTCAATAATTAAAAATAATATCTATCGAACATCTAAAACAAATTTATAGGAAATTTATACTTTTTTTTTTTTTCAAAGTTTTCAAAAAAAAAGATAAGTTTCAAATGTAAATATTAAATAGTAAATAAATAGAAATTTTTGGGAGATTTCTTTTTTTTCAAGGCTTTAAGTGACTATTGTGAATTTAGAACCGATGAAGTAAAGAAATCAACATTTAAGTTTTAATTTAGAAGAATTATTAAAAATATTAAAAAATTAAAAAAATGATAATTAAGCGCACATTAGTAGTCAACGATCGTTGTCGACCACTAAATAAGGCGCCAAGCCAAGTGACTTGACATTTTTGCCGCGCATTGCGCATTGGGCATCGTCAATAGGCGCCTTTTAGAATAGTGATGCAAAATATAAATTTGAAAATAAAGTATGTAAAAAGTAATTATATTCTATACATAAGGTGCATTTTGTAAATTTCCCTTTTAGATTCTATTATCTGTTTTATTTAGCCCCCATTTGATTTTTATTCTTTGGCCTCAAAAATAAAAAATATGACTTTTATCTATTACATCAAGTCATCATATTTGACTTTCTATCTTTTGTGTGGGTCTCATAACGGTAATATTTTTCATTCTCATTCCTAAAAAATGGGAAATCAAAAGGGACCTTAATTTTCAGAAAAGAAAATTTTTGAACCTCGCTTCCAAAAATATCTCTAAACAGATTCTTTTTTTGCAGCCTTTTGTTTCGCAATATAGTCAATCCTAATGAAAAGGAAAAATTGCAGTAGCGTCCTTACCTTTTCAATTTTTGAAAACTTTATCCTAACCTTCATTTTGTATCACTCACAGTTCCAAATCCTTCAAAAATATGCATTTGAAGTCCAAATAAATGGAATCCATTTGGACGTTAGTTGACCAAGGAAACTGGGTTTTGACCAATTTTGACTAAATTGTAAGGGGTAAAATTGTATTTTGTATTTTTCTCACATTAAAAAAGTTAAAAATACAATAAAATAACCAAAAAATGAAAATTAACCCTTTGTCCGCCCACTCTACTCTTTCCCACTCCCACCCACAATGACAGTCGACATAGCCACCCCAAGGTCGGCCACCACTGTCGCCTACATATTGTCAACGTCGCCTAAAGGCAGCAATAACCGCCACCCTCACATCCATTATTTTTTGCACTCAAACAAAGAAAGGGGAATTTACAGATTGAAGAAATGGTTTAACTGTTGAATACTCACAGTTTCTTCAGTCACCTAATTTCTTCACAGTCACTAGATTGGGGCCTTGGGGTACAATCTCTGGAGCAACTTTTTGGATTTTTCGAGTAGGGTTGTTGAATTTAATGTTGAAATCCTATGCAGGCATTTTCAAAATTTTTTTGGATTGAATGGTGGAGGCATTTTCGAATTTTTTAAAATTGAGTTTGAAGTTTGAAAATGGGTAGTTACCAGCAATAGTGATGGTGGTGGTGGTGTTGAGGAGATAGGCGTTGGTGGTCATGAATGATTTCCTTGTTTTGATGGGGTGGAGATGGAGGCGGGAATGGGGGGTGTAGGGGAATGGAGTCGGAGGAAGAAGGTGGGAGTGGGAGGTGGTGGTGGCCGACCACCGATGCTACTGCAATTTGGAGTGGTGGCGTGGGGAAAGACGATGCCCCATTTTCCTTTTCTTTTTGGGAAATTTACAAAAATATCACAAAAAATGAAAGTTCCAAAAAATTTGTCATTTTCACTTTTTGTAAGCAAAAATGTCACATTTTTTGGGTGCAAAGTCCAAATTACCCTTAATGACACATTTCTAGTTGCATTAAATGTTTGATTTGAAGGAAAAGCATTGATTTAATGTGATCATTTAATTTCTATATAGAAAATATGGAGAAATGTTTTTTTTATTGATTAACATGAATTTTTGTTAATAAAAAATCACCAAAGAAATTTGAAAACGTAAAATAAACAAGAAAGCCTACCTTTTCTCCATTTTCTTAATTTTCATTGATCAAGAAGACATTTGTGTTGCATTCTTCATCCATTTTGAGAGGTTAGCAATTACAAATTATTTATATTTTACTTTTATATCTTTTTATTTGTACAGGTTAAATACAACATGGACATATTTCTTTGAAATTTTTGAAAGTATTATGCATTCATTTGTTTGGTTTTGGAATCCTCACAAAATGTCATTATCACCATTAAGGTTTTGAGTAATTTCTTCAATTACCACCATTAAGGTCTTTTTAATGACAAGACCCAGATGCCATTTACATTTTGTCATTTTGTAGCTGAATAATAATGACCACACTTAATGTGATGTGTTGAAGAAGCCTGAGAAACCCACTGCCATCTGCTTCCCGACATTCCCAACAGTTGAACTGTCGAGTTCGACATTTACAAACCGTCGAGTTAGACGTTTGAGATGTCAAACTCGACATTTACAAACTGTCAGGTTATACAATTTTACTTTCAATTTGGACACTTCAAAACGATGGAAACCCTTGATTTAACCTTTTGCTATTGTACGGATTTACGTATTATGCAGTGCCACTTTCATGCTATTAAATGCCAATATATTGATTCTGAATTCTTATCGTTGCAATCCCAACATTTTAGGTATGAGTAATCATGTGAGATTTATCGTGTCGCATGGGGAAAAGTTTGTTCATGCGGATGACGAATGGAAGTGGAGAGGGGACAAAACCACTTCCATTCTGGTGCCGACAAGTATTATCGTAGTCGAATTTTTGTTAAGGTTGAAGGACAAACTTGGTATTCTTGATCCCCACACTCAAATTGAATTGAAGTTCAAAGTTACTAACTTGAATATATCTCCAGCCGAAATACGCGACGATAAAGACTTAAATTGGTGGTAAAAGTGATTGTCAAATGTAATCTCGAAAATGTTCCCACCTATGTAGTGTACATTCTGAAATTATGTTATTTATTTGTTGTTATTATCATATGCCAATAAAAAAATTGGTCGTTATGTTTTGCAAGCAAGGTATCGATCATTACGGTTCCATTAGCACAAACGGGATGTATACGTTATTTTCATTATAAACTTAACAGATCATTATGGTTCCATTAGTTTCGACTGACAGTTTGTCGAAATGGAAAATTAATTTTCATGAAACAACAATTCACAAGCAAAACACCAACATTACATCCCGACAGTTCATATGTCGTCCCCGATAGATGGGTTCTGTAATTCTCGACAGTTGGGAACAATAACGGCTTCCAAAAATACGCTATAGCGGTTACCCATTATGAACATGCTATTGTTGCATGTACGCAGATGACGTGACCAAAATCATCTCTACCACAAAATACTATTCATAATTTCCTACAAAAGGGCCATTATTGCACACTTGCATTGCTATCGACATTTTAAGCTTCTCCCCCACTTTCTCCATCAGAATCGTCTGAGCTTATGACAATTATGTCTGGATGTTGAAGATGAGCCAGCCACTCATCCGAGTCAGACGGTGATTTGATCAGATCCCTGACCTTGAAAACTTAATCAAGCACGCTGTTCGGTGACTTAGATTCTGCACTTGATACTTCGTCGAACTTGGCACCATGGTGCTCAATGCTTACCTCCTCATCGTCCGAGGATAAAACGATGGGAAATTCAGTGGCGAACCTAGTATTGGCGGATGCATATTGATGTTGAATGGTTCGTTGCTGAAGGTGGAGGAACCCATTATCTCGTATTACTAACTGTTTCAATATGAGAGTTTCACAAGAGCTTCTCTAGTCTTTCAAGCGGTGGATTATGCCTTCAACCACAAAGTGTATTTGTATTAGTTAGACATTCACTATCATTTTCTCATTGACGTTTTCAATGAGAAACTTATAAAATGCATTAATTTCAATTTCTCCAAAAATGAGAAACTTATAATCTTTATAATTTTCATTTACGAACTACGATCCGGATATTGGTCAAACTTATAATTTTCATTTTTTTGAAAGCGAAAAACTTATAAAATGCACCAATTATTTCATTTTTTTTAGAAAACGAGAAACTGATAAAATGCACCAATTTTCATTTTTCAATTAGATACCAGTTTTAATCTCTAGGTCGAATGAGTTCAAAAAGTAAGAAACTTACAAAGTGTGCCAAAAACAGTTTCCATACCAACATTTTCCGTACTAAATTCACACAGTTTCTTTGACAGTGAATACCACTTGAACATATCAACATTTCCCAAAAAATAAATATACAATAATATAAAACAAAATGTTCCTCCGTGCATTCTCCGCAGTCACCCGAAGTAAAACATTGTCAACGTCGCTCTTTCTTTGACATGGACATCGATTGGATCCACCTTCCATTACAACAAGAACTTGTCGACCAACACTTTGATACTTGTTCAGGTCATGAGTACGATTCTGTACATAGGCCGTCATACATAAGTAAAATGAGTATTCTGAGACAAAGCACGTAGAAAGCAAGGTGAAGAAATGTAATAGCGTTCGGGTCCATACTATCTTTATCGATCACCTCACAAAATAACAAAACGTTTGATAGAATTTCAGAAAGGTGTAAAGAGTTTGTGATTCAATCCATTTGTATTATAAACTGTATCGGAGTAGAGTTTTATTGCATTTAGTACGAGCTCAATAAGTGCAATTATACATCAAGTTCCAAATTTCATGGCATTTAAGTTTTCGAATGCAATTGTACTGTCGAAGTTGCCAAAACAAAAAAGAACTGCTCACTTATTTTTTTCACTTTCTTTGCAATCTCCCTCATGTACGGAGTCCTAGTAAACGGTGCAGGATGTCGCAGGCGTGCAGATCACATCATCTTTGAGATAGGTGCCGTATCCACGGGCACGGCTGTGGTGGCCTCCATCGGCATTTCACTCGCACCGCCTATAAAATATTGCAGATGGCCCTAAATATTTAATCGAAATTTGTACCACTAACCGTAATTAATCAGATCAAAATTTTCTCACAAGAAACTTACGTCCTCCCCTGCCATGCCGCTAGCAGAAGCAATTAAGTCTTGCTCAACGTTTCCCATACCAGCGTAGGGAACTTTCTTGTCGTCACCGTCCCCCAAACCAACACAAGCTTCCTTGTCGTCACTGTCTCCTGAGCAAGAAGCTCGAAATCCATGTATGCAAAGACAAAACAAGAAATGGATGCATCAAATGATAATATAATATTTCTAGCTGCATATAGACCAAAAACCATAAGTATGCTATGAAGTGTCTATCAAGAGTTCCACCCGAATACAACGAGTACCACACACAACAAGTGGATTGCAAGTGAAAGCAAGGTTATGACACACGTAACATACACATTGAAACGAAATATATGTCAAGTGTCAATCAAGATTTTCACCAAATGCATACAACGAATATCACACATATTACTTCAAATCACCTTTTACGAATTTACTTATGTAAGATCGAAATTAATGTGAAACACACTGAGCTCAGGTAAGGACTGAACTGTCGTTCCCGACAGTTAGCCTCAATAATTATCGACAGATGAACTTGTCAATAGATAAAATGTCGGGAACGTCTATCAAGAGTTATGGTATTTCTTCTCTAGTTTTCCAGTTGACCTAGTTAATTTCCTTCTTCCTTTCAGAGGGGAAAAAAAGAAGAAAATTGAAAATAAACAAAAGCCCAATTGTAAACTTGTAATATTCACATTTTTAATAGTTATATGAAAATACTATGTATAGTGAAGAGACATTTATTCTTACTCATAGTTAATCTTCTACCATTAACTAATAGGGCTTTACCATTGTTTGTTGATTAAAAAGTGCAAGAAGTCTATTTACATTATAGCCATCTCATTGCACACCAAAATTTGTGAATTCACAAGGATACTTCGCTAGACTTCATGATATCAATTATAAGAAAGTAAAGATAAAAATTACAATGAACTTGCAACCAAACCAACATTTCTATCTTCCCACCATCAACAAGAAAAATTTCATGAATCAAGATAATCTCTTTTCGAATCACAACATTTTTTTTATTAAGGGAACACGAAAATATCCAAATCAAGTCAGAAAAAAAAAATAAAAAGAAACATACCAAAAAGTAGATATTGATTTTCAACAATTCTCCTAAACTTAAGTAGATTCCTTATAATTTCAATAAAATGTACATAGGTTTAGGACTTCAGCATGGCAACCAAAGTAAATTGTATGAACTTTTTAGACCAACAAACCTGGGCAAAAATGGATATTTTGGCAATCACAGAAGATCTTGAGTGAGAGAGGAAATTGAGAGTCGTTTCGGTTTAGGGCTTTGGTTGCTATATGAATGAATATTTTTACATTTTTAGTTTTTATATATTTTTTTTAATTTTTGTTTTTTTTTCTTGTAAGTAGTGAGATGGGACCTTTTGATGTGATGCAAATTAACGTTTTGTACTATTCTTTCATCTAGTCAAATCAATTTTAATTAAGGACATCCAAGGTATTTCAATTTTTTTTGAGGGCCATAAAAGTCATAAAGTGATAGTTTGGTTAAAACTATTAAAATGTGACATTTTTGTAAATGTAAACCCAAAAAATGACATCCAGTGTAATTTTCACTTTCTTTTTTTGGATGGTTTATTAATTTATTTTTTTTAACTTATTTAATGGAAGAAAAATGCAAAGTACATTTTAAAGGTTATAGACCACTGCTGCAATGTAGTCAAAGTCCTAATGAAAATGTTGCATACTTTGGATAAATGTTTGATTAAATTCTCGTTTGGTAACAATTTTTTATTTCAAAAAATTAATTTTTTAACCATTATTTTAATACTATAACCTTCATTTTTTACTTCTTCTCTCACATGTAAAATTCACTTTTCTCTCTAACGGGCAAAAAATCAATTCCGACAATTACTACTGAACAGGCCCTAAGTTTAAAATTAATTTAATCTGCTTTTCAGTAAACATATGTTACCAAACATATTATGGCCTTGTTTGATCCTCATTTTTCTCTAAATATATTTTTCTCTCTCTTCTTTTCAACCACACATCCTTTATTAAAATAATATTGCACTTAAATAAGAAAAATTTCCTTAATTTTCATCCATACATTCTCTATCAAGTTATTATTCTAAAATTCACTTTTCCATAGAAATGGGTGTCAAACACCATCTATATATGTTTTTACAAATAAAAAGAATTATTTATTTTAATATTAATGTAACGTTAATTTCATAATTATTGATATACTTACATTTAATTAAGCCATTGTTTGCCCCCATTAAAATTCTAATTCATTTTTCTATCTCTTCTTATTAATCATACATTTTCCAATAAAATAATATTATACATAATTCCAATTTTTTTTTTAAGCCACACATTAAAAAAAAAAAAAAAAAACCCCACTATATATATAACCCTTTTCGGCTCCATCTTGTACATCAATTTTGCTTTTCTAGTTTCAGTTTACTCTTTTTCTGAATGATTATTTTAAAGATCTATCTTAGCTGATCGTGAAATTTACTCCCAGAAAAAGTATGGATAATAGTTTTAGTTCGATTTTTTATTTTTCTCTTTCATTGAATACACGGATAGGTTGGTTGTTTCATCCACGGCATCTTTCTCTTTTTCCATCTTTCGTTGAATACACGGAGAGATGAATTGTTACATTTTGGCCGAGACAAGTCCCCCACGCTATGGAGTTTCTGATGGTGAGACTTGATTAGAAAATGACTTACGGCTAAATCATTATCATTATTATTATTTTTCGTTTTTCATTTGTTCTTTTGCCCAATATTTCACTGTCCACTGTTCAAGTTTCACATGGGAGGGATTGTTTTATGCAAGTTTCCATCCAATGACTAGGAAGATCCAAAAGGGCCGAATTGGGAGGGATATATTCAAATTTCAAGACAAGAAATTAGATATCGACTTAATTTCTTGCATTATTATGGAAACTTTGATATTTATTATTGTTGTTTTGTTAACAATGGGTTACATAGAAGACAAAATTTCTTGAATATTTTTTCTTATAGAGCTTAGACAGTCCTAGGGCTATCTACACCCGTGATTGCCATCTCTTAAAAGCTTTCAATAGATAATTTTTTAAAGATACATATTATTAATAAGTCTTGAGAAATCTATTATGCTTGAGTAATAGATCCAATTATCTTATAAAAGGCCTAGTTAAAACAAAAGACTTCGACAATAAATATTAGTTTAAGTTATGACCTCACAACTATTGCATCCATCTAACCATCATCGAATATTAAGTATCTCTGATATATTGATCAGCTGACATTGCATGAGGAACATATTTAAGTCATAAAGCAGAAATTGACTGCTACTAATGACTCGTCGATGACTAAGAGAGTACTTTAGTTTGGCGTCTTGGCCCCAATATCAAGGGATAGGCGAACCAAGGTATATAACATATAATGGGTTAATTTTACTCATTTGTGAAGAATTGAGATTATAGTAAGGAAATACTTGAAAAATTGAATGTTATGCATGACAAATGTCAACAATAATTTAATTGTTCATAGATTCTTTTTCCAGCCTTTTGCTGTTTAATACGGGAAATTACTAATAAGTTGGCTTGTCTTGTTACAAATTATTGAACTAATAGATTTTGAGAAAAAAATAAAATCAATATATTGTTCTTTATTGTTCTAAGATTCACATGAAAAACTTAGAGATATCAATGCAATTATCAACAATCTCGCTTCCAAGATACCGGGAAGAAATAGAAAATAAAAAATAAATCTTTAACTACTACTACCCCAAAAAAAAAAAAAAAAAAAAAAATCTTTAACTACTACTACCCCAAAAAAAAAAAAAAAAAGAGAGAAAAAAGTGTTAATTTCATATTATCCTCTCTTTTCAATATGTTCAACTGCATCACGACAATGTTAAGAATAGGAAAAATTGCAGTAGCCGTTCCTAACCTTTATTTTTTGTCAGCGAAGGTACCTACCATTTCATAAATATGCACCTCAGGTCCATCTGGATGGAAACCATCCAAAACACCGTCAGTTAACAGGAAAAATTTTTTAAACTATCTGCTATCACAACGATTTTATTGGATGTTAATACCTTTTTGGACGGTATTTTTGAATGGTGTTTTGGACGGTTTTATTAAATGTTAATTCCTTAATTTTTTCGATCAATTGACGGTATTTTGGACGGTTTCCATCCAGACGATCCTTATGTGCATATTTATGAAAGGTTAGGAACCACCGCTAACACAAAATGAGGGTTAAAGTAAAGTCAGCAAAAAATGAAAAGGTCAAGGACCGCTGCTGCAATTTTTCCTTAAGAATAAGAGCTTCTTTTAGGTATTTGCAATACATATTCTTACTACCTAATTCCTGTTTGTATTAGTTTTTTTTTTTCAATTGAGGTCATTTTCATTTGATGATGTAATTCACAGTTCTTATCTTATCGATTTCAGCAGATCATTTTGTCTTTTAACAATGTGGATACCCAATTATAATTAAAAATTCTTAAAAAATATTAAACGAAAAATCAATAATTAGACTTATATATATATATATATATATATATATATAAAATGTGATATATGGTGTAATTTGTTATTTCAATTAAAATGTTTTTGTTTGATTAATCATTTTTAATGACATTTTAGTAAAAATTCCAGCAAATGATGCTTTTTATAATCATTATGCAAAATATAAATTTGTAAATAGAGTATGTAAAAAGTAATTATATTCTATATATAAGGTGCATTTTCTAAATTTCCTTTTAGATTCTATTTTCTGTTTTATTTAGTTTTCAGAAAAGAAATTTTTGAGCCTCGCTTCGAAAAATATCTTTAAACACATTCAGCCTTTTTTTTCGCAATATAGTCAAATTCCTAATGAAAAAGTTACATACTTTGGACAGATGTCTGATTAAGTTTATAATTAATTTAAATTTGCTTTTCAGTAAACATATGTTACAAAACATATTATATATGTTTTTACAAATAAAAAGAATTATTTATTTTAATATTGATGTAACGTTAATTGCATAATTATTGTTATACTTATATTTGATTAAGCCCTTATTTGTCCCAATTAAAATTATAATTCATTTTTCTCTCTTTTCTTACTAATTATACATTCTCAAATAAAATAATATAACACGTAATTCCAACAATTTTTCTCTTTTTTAACTACACATTATTAAAAAAAAAAAAAAAAACTTTTTTGAACGATTATTTTAGAGATCTATCTTAGCTGATAGGGAAATTTATGCATAGAAAAAGTATGGAACATAGTTTTAGCTCGATATTTTTATTTTTCTCTTTCATTGAATACACGGATAAGTTGGTTGTTTCATTCACGACATCTCTCTCTTTTTCTCTAATGTCTCTTTTTCTACCTTTCGTTGAATACACGGAGGGATGAGTTGTTTCATCGACGACATTTTGGCCAAGACAAGTCCCCCACGCTTTGGAGTTTCTGATAGTGAGACTTGATTGACTTCAAGACTAGAAAATGACTTACAGCCAAATCATTATTACTATTAGTATTATTTTAGTTTTTCATGTGTTCTTTTGGCCAATATTTCATTGTCCACTGTTCAAGTTTCACATGGGAGGGATTTGTTTTATACAAGTTTCCATGGAGGAATCCAATGAAGAGGAAGATCCAAGAGGGCCCACAAGAAATTAGATATGGACCTAATTTCTTGCATTATTATGGAAACATTGAAATTTATTATTATCGTTTTTTTAACAATGGGCTATATAGAAGAAAAAAAATTCTTGAACATTTTTATAGAGTTTGGACAGTCCTAAAACTACCTACACCGGTGATTGCCATCTCTTGAAAACTTTCGATTGATGTTTTTTTAAAGATGCCTATTATTAATAAGTCTCGAGAAACTATTATACTAGAGTACTATATCCAATTATCTTATAGAATGCCTAGTTAAAACAAAAGACTTCGACAATAAAAATTAGTTTAGGTTATGACCTCACAGCTATTGCATCCACCTAATCATCATCGAACATTGAGTATCTTGAACAAATTGATCGGCTGACATTACATGA